TACTATTGCTAGAAGGAGAATTAATAAAGTTTTTGCTATTAAGAATGATCTTGGAGAATGGACAGCTGATACTAAGGATATGGTGGAAACGGCAGTGAAGTATTTTGAGAAGTTATTTTTAGAGGAGGGTGGCATCCATGAAGAATTCCATAATAAAGGTATTTTTCCTAAAATGGAGGATCAAGAGATGCGCAAGTTAGCCAGGTCCCCTGATGATGTGGAGATCAAGAGAATTGTTTTCAAAATAGGCAGATTTAAGGCCCCTGGCCCATATGGCCTAAATGCAGCCTTCTTTCAGTCTCAGTGGCACCTTATTGGTAAATTAGTGTGTGATTTAATCAAGAATATTTTTGATAATCCCATGAAGATTCAACTGGTCAATCAAACTCATCTTTGTTTGATTCCAAAAAAAGATAATCCTGAGTGTATGAGAGAATTTAGGCCAATAAGCCTATGTAATGTGTCTTATAAAATTGTTACTAAGGTGATTGCTGATAGGTTAAGAGATTTGATGCCCAGATTGGTTGCTCCAAACTAGTGCTCTTTTGTTAAAGTTAGGCAGAGTGCTGACCACATATTAGTGGCTCAAGAGATCATTCACTTAATGAGGAGGAAAAAAGTAATCAAGGATGGATGATGATTAAAGTTGATCTAGAGAAAGCTTATGATCGTCTTAGCTGGGAATTTATTCATGATACTCTTAAAGATATGGGTTTTCCTAGTAATCTGATCTCTCTTATAGACAAATGTGTTGGGTCCAGCGAGCTAAACATGTTGTGGAATGGTCAACCCACTAGATATTTTAAACCCTCCCGTGGAATAAGACAAGGGGATCCCCTATCCCCATACTTATTTGTCTTGTGTTTTGAAAGACTTGCTCATCTAATCCAAGTAGCTAATGAGGTGAAGGCTTGGAAACCTATTATTCTTAGGAAAAGAGGTCCTTCTATATCTCACTTATTTTTTGCTAATGACATTATCCTTTGTGCTGAAGCATCCCTGGATCAGGCCTATGTAATTAATCAAATCCTCAAACTGTTTGCTGTTAGCTCTGGGCAGAATATCAACCTGGAGAAGACTCGGATTTTCTTTTCAAAGAATGTCAACTTTGGAAGAGCTAGAGAGATAAGTGATTGCTTAGGCATCAGCATTACTCCTAATCTGGGAAAGTATTTGGGAGTCTTTTTGAATCACTCCAGAGTTAGTAGGAGTACTTTTGGGCACGTTCTCGATCAGGTCAAGAACAGGATGAATGCTTGTAGTGTCAAATCTTTGTCTCTAGCTGGTAGACTTACTTTGGCTAAATCAGTGTTATTTGCCAATGCCTACTTATGCTATACAAACATCCTGGTTACCCAAATCTGTGAGTGAAGATATTGAGAAGCACACCCGTGGTTTTATATGGGGCTCCTCGAAAGAGAAAAGAGGCACTCATCTGGTGAATTGGGAAAGAATATGCTCTAATAAACAATGTGGTGGAGTTAGATTGAGGGATCTGAAGACTTTTAACCAAGCATTTGTTATGAAGGTGGGATTTGGTCTTCTGGCTAAGAAGGATACTTTGTGGGCTAGAGTGTTGAGAAACAAATATAAACTTGAGGAGTGTTTATTGCCTAAAATATCGAGGACTGTCAATGCCAGCAACATTTGGAGAGGTATAAGCTCATCCTGGAATCATATCTTGGAAGGAGCTAGAATTCTGATGGGTAATGGTAGACAAACCAGATTCTGGCTTGATTGTTGGGTGCCTGAAATTGGGAGTATAATTGATAAAGCCATAATGCCTATTCTTGAAGATGCTAAGTGTTGGAAGGTTGCCTGTTGTGTGAATCAAAATGGTGATTGGGATTGGGCCAAATTCAGTATGTATCTCCCAGATGAGGTTTGTGAAGCCATAGCCAGGACTGAGACCCCTAAGGAAGATGATGAGGAAGATAGGATCATCTGGAGTCCTTCTTGCAATGGTATATTTTTTGTGAAATCTGCTTACCATTTTATTAAAAATGATATTCCTTTTATGAAGAACCACGATAACTATTGGGATCTTCCTTGGAGTTGGAGGGGACCTGAGAGGATTAAACACTTTTTATGGCTCCTTCTAGGTAACAATCTGCTAACAAATAATCAAAGAAGCTGTAGACATATGGGAGGATAGGCCCTCTGTCCTAGATGCATGTTTCCTTGTGAGGATTGCTGTCATGTGATGAGGGACTGCTATTGGGCTAAACAGGTCTGGTCCATATTAATTGATAAGTCGAAATATAACTTTTTCCTTGTTGGTAATTTTCTGGAGTGGATTCAATTTAACTTGGGAAAAGGAAATGATGATAATCATGACCAGGTTTGGAGGCTTACCTTCGGTGTTACCTGCTGGATGTTGTGGCAATCCAGAAACAATTTTGTTTTTAAAAAAGATGTTTGCTCTCCTGAAAGTTTTTGTCGTAAGGTAAGGATTTATGTTCAAAATGTGATACATGCTGAATCTACCCTGAATGTGGCAGCTATTAGTTTGAGGTTGAAGGAGGACACTATAGTGCAATGGAAGCCTCCCCTAAAGGGATGGATTAAGATCAATACGGATGGTGCTTGCTCTCTTGATGGATCCAAATGTGGTTGTGGGGGAGTCCTTCGCAATAGTGATAGAAGATGGGTGATTGGCTATATGAAGAAGGTTGATCAAGGTAATGCTTTGAAGGCTGAATTATGGGGTGTTTTAATGGGTCTTCAAGTGGCTTGGGATCATGGTTTTAGACAAATTCATCTGGAAGGAGATTCAACTAAGGCTCTTCAATTAATTCAAGAAGGTTGCTCTTCTGATCATCCTTTCTGCCAACTGATTAATAGGGTCAAGGAGCTGATTGCCAAGCAGTGGAGGGTTATGATATCCCACATAAATAGGAAGGGGAATGAAGTAGCTAACTGTTTGGCTACTAAGGTGGATCACAACTCTTGGGATTTAGTTATTTTGCCTAATGCTCCTTTGAGCTATATTAGTTAGGTAGAGAAAGATCTGTTGGGATGTGGTAATATCCACAACGATCCTTAAGTAGGTTGATGTTTGTCTGTTTGTAATTCTCTAATATCCAAAAAAAATATTGACATATCAGGGATAAAAGTTTTACATGTCAGTCATGAATGAAAACTTCATCAAATGAGTGTATATTTGTAACTAAATCAAATTAGTAAATATGTATATTACGTGAAAATGAAACATTTTAATTTAATATATTGATATTAAAATCACAGAAGTAATATGTATGTGTGTGTTATATTCAAATGTATTTATTCGCTTAAATTAATTATTTAAAATTAAATATGTAATTCATACTTTACAGTGATATATACTCTAGTGTAGAAATAAAAAATAAAATAAAAGTCCTCGGGGCAACTTCGGGTATCGTGACAGCATCCTCGGGCAGTCGGGCCACAAATCACTTTCGTTTGTTATATTAGAAGCTCATAATCCGATATATTATTCTATAGCGTTCGTTGAGCAATATATTTCAATTTTTGATACTTATATAATTACTTAATAGTAGAATAAATATACAAGTCATTAGCAAAGGTCAGCTGCCACTCGAAGAAGTGGTACAAACCGCCCAATCCCATCGAAGATATAATAACAACATAACGGTCTACATCGTTTGGCCATTATTAAATATATTAAACTAATGTAATACATATGATTCTTGCATCGTTCCTTGTTAGAAGCTTTAAATTAAGATAATTAGGTGATAAACAAACAAAAGAAGCTATCAAGAAGCAAAGAAATATCTTTGGAGAATAAGTGACAGCCGTCCTCCCTCGGCACCGCGAAACGATCCTTAGCCACACAAATATTCAAATCTATCCGATTTCTTATTGCAGAGAATATTTTATTATCGATGATGATGCTAATTAACGACATTATTAAAAGCTGACTTGGAGACGAAGATTTATTTTCAAGGTGTAAACAATTTTATAATTTTTTTAACATTACCTTCCATATTAATTGTGAAAGAAAATTTTTAATAAAGTAATAAAAATATTTTAAATATTTCAATAAAAGATTATTCAAACAAATATGCTTGTTTTTATTTATGATTTAGAATACTCAATATTTTCAAATTCTTATACAACTGTATATCTGAAAAAACATTTAAAAAATAACAGAAGTAGTAGTTGAGAACGTAAAGCTAAGGGAAAGTTTAGTCAAAAGAGAAATTTATTTATTGAGTTCGTTTTTTGTGCAGTCACTGCAGATAAATTATCTGTATTAAGTCTAATACGATGTCATTTAGGGACAGAAATTATGGTATTTTTGTAATTTTAATTTATTTCATGATTATTATAGTCTTTATAATTTTAATTTTAATTTTTCAATTCCAAAACAACATTATTTTGAGAGTAAATACAGATAATTTATCTGCAGTAACTGAAGAAATATTTTTCTATTATTTATTATTGAGAATCAGAATTTTGCAAAATACGTTGGAAAAATGAATTTTTCAGAAATACTACAAAAAAATTATTTAATAAATCAAAATATTTCAAAAAATATTAATTAAAATTTACTGATTTTATGTTTGATTGATTGAATATAAAAGTACCACCCATCTCGTGGCATTATTTACAATTTATCCATTTAGCAAAGGATTAGGATAAAATGGTATTCTATACGTGAGTTGCTAACTACAATCTAATTAAGTATGTTATCATACATACATATATTAATGAAGATATTTAAGACCAATCACCAAACGTCTTTCTCTCTGGTTATTTCTCCAATTTAATCATTTCAATAGCACTGACCGATCATGCGAAGGTGGCGCACTCGTCCTATTAATTAGGTCAATGGTCATATGATAATAACCCAAGTGGCTGCCCAATTACAAGTTTGGGACCACTTAGCAGAGAGCACTAACCATTGAACCTTGTAATAAATAAATAAATAAATATATTACAAGCCTCTCCTATATATTACAGGAGGAGAAGGAAAAAGATTTATGCCCTCTACCAAAGTTAGTTGTATAGAAAGTTGTTTTGTTTTGCGGGTTGAACAGAGTGTGAGCTAATTAAGTTGGAGCAATGACAAAGGTATACCCAAACGCAGCCCGTGCATGTGTCACGTGGGAGAGGCAAAAGGCATCCACAGATGGCGTGGTCCTTACAGTGTGGAACAAGTCTCTGTTACCAAACTGCAATGGATTCACCGTCTTCGATAGCCATGGGAATCTGGTTTTTAGGGTTGATAACTATATTGCAGCAAATAAGGATGAGATACTTCTCATGGACGCTGCCGGCATACCTCTCCTCACCATCCGCCGCAAGGTACCTACCTACATATATCTTAACTTCTAATTGCAGTCACACAATTTAACAGCTTGTTTGAAATCAGTTTTTAAAAACAGTTTTTTAATTTTCAAAACAAAAAAATATGTTTGATAAAGTCGATAAGGTCTGTTTTATAAAAAAAATTAAAAACGGTAACAGTTGTTAGAATCAAATTTAGAGAATAGGACCTGTTTGATTGTGTTTTTTTTTTTAAAAACTGTTTTGTAAAATAGTTATAGGATTCATTTTTTTTTTTTGCAGATATTTCAGATAAGTTACACCATGTCATTTTAGGGCGGAAATCATGATTTTTTATAATTTTAATTTTATTTCAGGGTTATTATGATCTTTATAATTATAATTTTTTAATCTTTCAATTCCAAAACGACATCGTTTTAAAAATAAATACAGATAATTAACTGGCAGAAATATTTTTCTGATAGTTATATGATAAAACAGAAAACAAAAATAACTTAGAAGGCTCTGTTTACTGTTCTACAGTTTTTTAGTTTTCAGAACTAAAAAACTCAGTTTGTCTAAAAAACTCAGTTTGTTAATAACCTTATAAGTTGTTTTTGTTTTCTGTTTTTACATATAACTATTCTACAAAATAGTTTTAAGGAAAAAAAAAAAAAAAGGACACAATCAAACTTGCCTTAATTTTCCTTTATTATTCATTCTCTTAATTACAAGTTCATTATGGATGAATCAGATTCAGAGGTTGAGTTTGGTAGACAATTGGCTTGTCTTTGAAGGAGAGGGAGAGGCCGAGGCCTCCATCAAACCCCTTTTTAGAGCGAGGAAGCACGTCAACATCCTCAACACCAAGTGTTTGGCACACGTGCTCAGCGACGATGATCATAAGAAAAATGGAATAGCGTATGAGATCGAGGGGTCATACGCAAAACGTTGTTGCACGTTTTACGACAATAAGAGGAGAAAGGTTGCAGAGATAAAGAGGAAAGAGGCTGCTGTGGCAGGAGGGGTAGCTTTTGGTGCAGATGTTTTCCGTCTGATCATAGAGCCTGACATGGACACCACTCTCGCTATGGCCTTTGTCATCCTCCTTGATCAGATGTTTGGATCAGGATCTTCCTCTCGTTGACTGATTAATCCTCATCAATCAATATATAGCTTTTCAGTTTCTTCGCTTTCTGTGTTTTCGGTTAAGGTCAAATCCATGCAACAGATCATGAGCAAACAACAATATGCAGCAGCTAAAATCATTGAGCTTGGTTTTTTCATTTTATATAAAATTCCAAGCACCAATCGAGGATGTAAATACATACTCTTTATTATAAAATGAAATATAGAAGAATAAAGAAAAGATATGTATATTGATTTCTTCCTGTTATGAAATCAAAGCTAGTGGATGACTTTTTTATTTTATTTCTCATCACTTAATTGTTTTAAGTTATTTGGGTTGAAATAATTTTTTAGCTAGTATCATTATTTTAGGATCAAATGTTCTTCTTTATATCTCATGTAAACAACTATTTATTTAGTGAAGATAATATTAATGATTTTATGTATTATATCTTTGACACATCCCTCACTCCAAGATCCTTATAGAATTGAAGAGTGGACGATATACACAAGCTCACTATATCAAGGATTGAAATATAAAATCGCGTACCCATCACGCCAAGAGGCTTTTTTAGGATTGAAATGTGGGTGTCGGAAATTTTTTTATTAGAAAACATGAGTGGTGAAGATCGAATTCGTGATCAATTCAACCAAAAATTTAAATTGCTAAGGGAAGGTCGTATTACCAATTTTATATGTTATATCTTTAACAACATCACTAAACCAAATTTAACTCCTAACAATTTAAATTTCACAGAATTATAATTAAGTATTAATGTAAACTATCTTTTGCCATAAAGTACCAAAAAACGTTGGCTCATGTAAAACTTTCTTTAATAAAAATTGTATAACTTAGTATATATTAATTTAAAAAAAAAAAAAAAGATAAGTGGTATTGGAAATATATGACTTACTTTTTAGAAAAAATTGTATATGGGACTTACACAAATCTTATTTATTATAAATGACTTATTTAATGGTAAAAATTAAAATTTTGTAACATAATATTGCCATATTATATTAAAAGAATTAATTTTTACAATTAGTCGTATACAATTTTTTTGGGGATACGTTATTCTACCTACTCTTATTCCGTCTACTTTTTCCTATCTCTTTCAACACCTATAGATTACAATCTCATCCAATGGTGGATATTTGCGGAATAAAATAAACATTTTTTCTTCTTTCTTTCTCCTCACTTCCTCCCACACCCTTTCTCTCTCCTCCTCTTTCTCTCTGTCGACAACCAAGACAGAAAATTCTGGGAACGAAAATCACATCCTCCAAAACTAAAAACACATACTCGATTGAAGAAAGAACGAAAAAAACATATCATCGACGATCATCATTTGAAAAAAATTACTTCCTCAAAAATCTTATTCTCCACAACTTTATCTCTATGCTTACGATTTATATTGTAAGAGAAAAATAAAATTATCCAATTAGGAATCGCTCTAAAAAATCATACACAACCCGTATTTGGTTTTCACGAAAAGATCTTTCAGTTCGATCCTTGTAAAAATCATGGAAATCAGGATCAAGGACATCTATTTGCATAGTTGCAAATGACTTAAAGGCTTGCGTCCGTGAATATCCAAGATAAAAAAGACTAAGATAACTATTGTGACTCAGCAAGTGCACCGGTCGTAAAAGTAATAAAGTGTACTGAGTACAAGATCGTTCCCACGAGGATCGGATTTTCAAACACTAGTTCGCTAATAACGGTTTAGTTGGACAATCAAAGTTGAGATGAAGATATTTGAAATTAAAAACAAGCAATAACATGCAATTAAAAATTCAGAATTAAAGAAGCAATTAGAAAAGATGATTGATTAAGAATTTAAAACAAGCGTAGTTAGGGTTTCGACTTCCCCAAATCTCCTTTTTATGTTATGAATTAAATAATCAAGAATCTGCTCTTAATATAATGCCAATCAATTTTTTCTAAGTTAATTAGGGCTCAATTCCTTGTTACCCTAAATCTATGTGATCTTGAAAGAACTCTAGTTCCCCGATTATTCCCCAAGAAAACATGCATTAAGATCAAGAATTGAAAGATTGCACAATTGCCCTATGTCTATCCCTAGATCACAAGGGTTATGATGAATTTATCAAATCAGGGTTCATGCACCAACATCCTTATTGTCATACAATTCCCCTAAATCAATCTATAAGGAGCAAACTCATAGAAAGTATTAAAACCAGATAAATTCATTCAAATATAAAAAAAAAGAAGAATTTAGAGACAATTTAATTCATAAACATAAAGATTCAATTGGGTTCCATCTACCCTAACTACATAAAAGACTAGCCTAGCATGCTGAATTGAAAAACAATAATAAAGAAAGATAACCCCAAGCCTCCATTGGTGTGATGTTGACTTGGTTCCTCAGTGCTCCCATGCTCCGCAACAGGATTCATCCTTGTGCTCCTTCAGACGTTTCTCCGTTGTTGAATGAATCTCTTCAATTGGTCTCAAGGCCCTCTATTTATAGATGAGAATATATCTTTTAATTTCTCTTCTAATCTTCCTCAAATTAGGTTCAAATCTTGATTAAGATGTAGAATCTTCCATAGGCCTGGATTTGATCGCATATGGACGTTTTAGCGCGATGTTTGGACGCTAAAACGTCCTCCCAGTGAATTCTTGTCTGCCTTAGGGTGTTTTAGCGCGTTGTTGGGCGCTAAAACATCCTCTTCGAAGAGTGAAAACTTGCTATTAGAGTGTTTTAGCGCTCTGGAGTGCGCTAAAACGTCCTTTTCCAGTGGATTTCTTCAATTTTCCTTCATTTGAGCGTTTTAACGCTTTCTTGGGCGCTAAAACGTTCTCTTCTAGCTTGTACACACTTGTAATCTTGCTTCTTTGAGGCTTTCAATCATCTTGTTGCATTCCTTTGGCTCTATAAAGCCTTGATGGATGTCAAAATCCCTTGAAATAAGAAATATTACAATATGTTAGCTAGATATTCAATCTTTATGACTTTATGGTGTAAAACCTTAATTTCCATGCAATCCATGATATATTTCCAGTATAATTTAGCCTAAAAACATAGTAAACCACGGGTTTATTAACCTTTCCCATATTTGAATATTGTTGTCCTCAGCAATCAATTAGAATAAACTACTGGAAAAATAGGACCTTTCAATTCCATGGATTTTATAGGTAGGATTCAATCAGAGAAATAACTACAGAGCATTCAGACTTTAAAGAATGATACATCAAAACAACAAGCTTCATAATCCATCAGTTAAAATTTTAATGAAATTCCTTAAGATTAAGAACAAGGAAAAATTCCTGAAACCCTCCCTCACTAGGATTTCAATTCACTCACACTCAACTGTTTAGATCGTTGGTGTTTCACTCGTATCCCACTGAATCATCACTACCATAAGCTTGATTATATTCTCGCTCTCCACAGTTATTGTGACATATCCAACAGATCAAGAGGTCTTGCTTTGGGTTATAACTTGGCCTGGTTAAAGGAAGGAAAATTTTAGAGAATGAGCTCCAAGATTAAAATCCAGATTCAAAGAGGAATAAATGTAATCGTTTACAATTTGTAAACAACTTTATCCTTTTTGGTCCATTCCTTTTTTTTTGAACTTTTCTCTTGTTTGTCGTTCTCTTTTCTCAGAACATGTTTTCTTCTTTCTTATCACTTCTTTTCTTTGAGCAATTTTTACTCTTCTTTGTTCTAACCAAATTTTCTTCCTTGGGCTTTGCCCTTTTTACTTGTACTTCTAGACATCAAAAACTTGTGCAACCACAACGTACATCCACTCCTTAATTAAGGTGAGGATTTATTTGGGAAATGGCTATTCATATTCAAAGGTTTTTAATGAATAACAAGTCTAGGCTCAAGGGGGCTTAACTAAGGGATATCAACACAGGTTAGCTATTTGGCCATCTGGTTAAAGAAAGAACATGCCTCTATCATTTCTACAAAATATATCACAGACCATTTCAAGCAAGAAACGAAGCGAGTTCTAGAGTCTTTCATTCAGTGGGATGCACACTCAATAAAAATTTTCTGTATAGGCTCAAAACCTCACGGCTATGAATGCACATTAATTTTCCTGTTCTTTTTCTCAAAAAAATTCATCACTAAAGAAAATATTAAATAAATCATGTCACTTATTACAAGATACTCATTATCAAAAAATTATGTAAGCACATCATCATGCTCTGAATCAATTACTGATTAAAAATTCCCGTCATTTTTCCAATTAAAAGCACTGAGAAAACTTTAAAAATTTCCAGAATTTTCACAAAAACAGTGGCTTGGTTTTTTTTTTTCAAAACAACTAAAAAAAATTCAACAATTAAGCAAATTTAAACTAAAGCAAAGAAAAAGGGATTTAAGATAGTTTCCTGTCTTAGCTGAATATTCTATGTATACTCATGAAGTTCCTGAAAGAAAATGGCCTTGAAGGCCGTAGGCATGTGAGGATGAAAACAGAATTTTTCAAGAGCGGAAATACACATGCAAATTAAGATACATACTTTAGGACGTAATGATACCTTTATTCGTGATTCAAAACTCCAAAGTGATCAGTGTAAGGTTTGAAGGTTCAAACCCTCTAATGTTGATCCACACCACCCTACGTCAAGATGCACACCACCCTACGTCAAGATGCAAGAACACTTCTTAAAAGCCACCAATCGAACACCAGAAGGAAGGCTAGCTAGGCGTCCAATAGGAGAGAAAGAGGCTTAGGTTTCAAGGTGTTTAGTTGAGTGAATTGAATCAGGCCTGATAGTATAAGGCCTGCTTGTATAAGACATGATTAAATTTGAATACTATCCAACGTTTGACATGATATTGTATAAGATAATATCATCCAATATTTGGTAATGCAATGTATAATAGTGGATAGGATAAAAATAAATATTTTTGACAAAAATACCTTTTAATAATGAGTTTATATAATTTTTTCCAAATATATTAGATGATATTAATTTTTATAGAAATCTGTTGATTAGTGTGTCCAAAAATATATTAATTTTTATAAAATAAAAATATCTAATATTTAAAAAAATTATATATTGAAAAATTATTTTTTATTTAATATATTAATATTAAAATAATAAAATAATTCTTGAGAATTGCATTGGTTAATACATCAATATCTTATAAGTCCTAATCCTGCCCTCCTAGGTCTGATTAAGTTATACATTATTTTGACATATAAAGGGATTCTGCTGTATAAGCTTATACTATACGATGATTACACCAAACAACTAAAATTTTCATAGCGTATAGTATAAATTTATACTATCAGACCTGTACATCACACCAAACATGCCCTTAAATTTAAAAAAGGATAGAAGAGGTATTATGATAGGAACAAGTCAAGATATAAGAGATA